TGAGATAGAGATAGAGGTAGAGGGACTACAGAAGGAGTTGTGGGGGGGGGTAGAGGTACGGGTTAGGGTTAGGATAGGAGATGCTCTTTGTTCCAGCGTGAGGCTTTCCACAGCTTCCTCAGTTAGCTCTGAACAGCCTTGTTCCTCCTCAGTTAGCGGTGGTCGGCTCTGAACAGCCTTAATGAGGCACTGCACAGCTGCCAGGCCGCCCCACAGAACACAAATGTAGGATTAACCGTGAAATGGAGGCTGTGTTGGTGTCAGCACAGGCTGAGGGATGCTGCTTGGTTTCAGAAACATAAAAAAAAGCAGCAGAAAATGTTGTTTTTATGAACAATGGAACCTTAAGGAGGCATATTAGCTGTTAATTAGCTGTATATTAGCAGTTTTATGTGGGTCACCAAGCATATTAAAGTTATTTGTGATCCTAAAAAACACATGTAAGAACAAAACAAGTTTTTACATGAAGAAGAAAGGGTTCACATACTGGGCTAAGCTGTAAAAGCTGCATCAGATTAAAAAAATGATGTTAGATTAAAAATTTAAGCTAAAACTCGACAAAAAGTGAACTGTAAGAAATTATTGTTTCAAATAAACCTGAAAATTTGTGGAAGGAGGAAATGAGGATTCTCATTTTAAGCAGAAAACCTTTTTTAGAGATGATTTTTTGAGGAAATAAGCATCCTTGCTGCTTGGCTACTAAAGCTAGCTGGCTAGCGAGCTAATGCTAACTATGGGTTTCTTATACACTTAATTCTACAAATCTGAGAAATTTGACTGTCCATTATCCAGCACTTTATAATAGATAAATGAAGAAACTTGGGTACTCATTTGCAAGCCTTTTATAATTATTTTCTCAGAAATAAAATTATCCAATGAGCACGACTTGAACTTGGCCTTCTCAAATTTGGCAACCTTCTTGAATTGGTCATTTTTCCAAACAATTTTCTAAACTTTTTCCAAACTAAAAAATGACTATTTTCTCAAGCAGGATAAAATGTGACATTATATTGTGATAAATATAAAAATCTAACGATCGGTCTCATATAGCAGCATTTCTGTGCTCTGTGGCTGTTTATTGGTTTATTTTCTCGAGGTTTCTGACCTCTTAAATGCTGATCTGACACAGAAAATGGTCAGTTTCTCAATAAGACTAGCATCTTAAAACCTTTAGCCCACCGTGTAGAAGTATTTAAGTGTTTTTATTCTGAAACAGCAGCTGCTGGTGGCCTTCAGTTTCTGTTTGTTCAGACTCGTTAAGCTCAAGGCAGTTTTTGAATGATGATCCTGTGAAACTGGAGGTGTTTTATTGGGTTCTTAACCATTCTGGACCAAAGCCAGCATGTGTGTATGTTTGATTTTTCTTACAAACAGGCACCAATGAGTCAACGTTACTCTTCCTATTGCTGGCCAGGGAGAGATAGAAACACAGATACAGTCCATGTTAACTAACAGTTGTTATGGTAGATTAGAAACACACCAACTTCATGCAGGGAAATTGTTTGTAATGGTCTTTTTCATCAGCCTTAAACATTGTCAACAAAATGTCATTTTCAGCATGGCTGGGCCTCTTAAACAGCCATTACTGTCATCACTCCATCACCCTCATCATTTTGTCATCGTCATCATCATCTCTGTTGTCTCCATCCTTTCCCATTTCACCACCTCCATGTGTCCTCCATTCCCGTCGCACCACCGTCTCAGTAGAACCATCAGAAAGGTAATTTATCCATAAATGAGGGTGATCAAAAACTAATTTCCTGTTGCTCAGGGTCCCTTGTTCCACGCGTTCACATCATTTTCCTTCACAAAGTCCATTGTTGGCGACCACAGCGAAGATAGTATCAAAAATGGACGTCAGCAGGAACAGGATTGATGACCTTCCTTTAATTTAATGCACACTTCTCCTACACGGGTGTTTTAAATCAGAAAGTAGATCCATTACACAACCCCCTGACGTTTTAATTCCTCCCTGGTTAGCGTGTCTAAATTGTGAAAGAAGCTCAGCTCCTCATCTTTTCCAGCCGGTGGAAATCCTCTTATAGTTCTTTTCTTGTTCATATAAAATGAGAAAACTAAAGCCAGGTTTTTCATTAACCTGACAGATGCGCATGCTAATGACTTTCTGATATCTTGACGCACCTGGGCGACTTCCCCAAAGGCATCAAAGATGCACTGTGCTGTCCAGAGACCAGTTCATTTAGGGCAAAGTGCAGCTTCAGTGGGTAAATGTTTATTTATATTTAATAAAAGCATTATGAAGATTTTAACAATTCATGTTCAACACAGCAGTTTGTGTCTGGGGGACTAAGAAATGGGGGCTTCTCCAGACGAGAGCCTGCTGTTAAATGTCAGATTAAATCAATCGGAAATTAATAGGAAATTGGATTCTTGACAAAAAACGTGATTAAACTAATACGACCGATAATACTGAAAACCTCCAAATCACACTATTTCAAAATGGTCTTTAATGAATTGATATATCCTGCCTCTCTGCCCATTCAAATGATTATTTAATATAATTGAATCTGTTGAATCACAGAAAAAAATGTGTCAAATTTACAACTTTTTAAACCCTTATGATGTCATAAAGAGCCGCAGCCCAGATTTGATCCCTCACTTTTGATTCTAAATGGTTTGATACTCATTGGTTGGTCATTGGACTTCCTTCGGGCAATCAGCTTTCATTGTACAAGGCACCAAAACATGGAATACATTACCTGCAGAACTGAAGGGAGAGTCAAACTGGGTCCTTTTTAAACATAAACCTAAAGACTTTTTATTGAGAGGTCAGACATGTGGACATTAATAATCTAACTGTCCTGATTTCGTATTTATGATGTTTTAGTGTGTGATTTGTTCTTTTGTGTACAGTCACTGTGTTTTGTGTAAAAACCTAACTTGGGACCGGCATTAAGAATTAGCCTTAGCTAAAATGTTGCAGTGTGTGACATGTTTCATGAAACATACTTGTCCCTATCAAATAAACGAATGAATAAATAAATGAATTAGGAAACGTTTGGTCTGATTTGTGGTGTTTATCTCGTTTCAGACGACTCGGTGAGCAGCCTCCCGGCCTGGGACCTGCCCACCGTCCCAGAATCCCTCCTGTCCACGGTGGGCGACCACGACTTCACGCTGCCCGCCAACATCACCAGCCCCTTCTCCACCCACCAGTGGAACACCACCATGCCCGCGCGGCCCAGGAGCCCCACGCGGCGCACGACCACGCCCGCCGTCGCCGTGGAAACGTCTCCGTCGGACTTACGTATTTCCAGCACGCCGCCGCCGCCACCGTTGGAATCCTCCCCGGGTTCCCCCAACGCCACCCGGGACTCTGTGACCCACCCGGGCCTTCAGACGACCACAGACGACCGGACAACTGCCTCCACAGCCGGTGTTGCCGTGACAACAGCCGAGGGGGCGGCTGAGGCTCCGCCCACAGGGAGGCAGGACACACCCCCCCCAGAGACAACGGCTGCCCCCACCACACGGCAGAGCACCAGCCCCAAAGTGACCGCAACCAGCCCCAAAACCACCACCATGACCACCACCCAGCCCATCACCATGGTGACTACCACCATTACCACTGTCCCCCCAACCACTACTACCACTGAACCCCCAACCACCACCACTACTGACCCCCCGACTACCACCACCACTACCACCACTCCAGCTCCCACCACAACCACCATAGCATCTACAACCACCACAGTTGCTCCCACTACCACCACTTCCACCACCACCACAGAGGATGCGGCCACCACCGTGCCCGTCCTGGTCCACACCACCCTGCCTCCGTCCACCACCGCCGCAGAGGAAGCTCCACTGCCCTGCAATGTGACGGAGAAGTACTGGGTCAGAACAGGTACGAGACTTTATGGACAGGTATGAGGTCTTATAGAGAGGTATGAGACTTTATAATCAGGTATGAGATCCTATAGAGAGGTATTAGATCTTATAGAGAGGTATGAGACTTTATAATCAGGAATAAGACTTTACAGAGAGGTATGAGACTTTATAATCAGGTATGAGACTTTATAATCAGGTATGAGACTTTATAATCAGGTATGAGATCTTATAGAGAGGTATGAGACTTTACAGAGAGGTATGAGACTTTATAATCAGGTATGAGACTTTATAATCAGGTATGAGATCTTATAGAGAGGTATGAGACTTTATAGAGAGGTATGAGACTTTATAATCAGGTATGAGACTTTATAGAGAGGTATGAGACTTTATAATCAGGTATGAGACTTTATAATCAGGTATGAGACTTTATAGAGAGGTATGAGACTTTATAATCAGGTATGAGACTTTATGGACAGGTATGAGACTTTATGGACAGGTATGAGACTTTCATTAACAGCTATTGGACTTTTATTTACATCCATTATATTTTAAGACTTTTTGGAACAGGAAAAAAATTTGAATAAGTGGGGATTATTTTGAGAAAGAAAGTAAATATTAATTAATGAAATCAGATTAAATTGTTATTTGTTTGTGCCCCATTTATCAACTGAATGCCGTATAATTCACATTTGATACATAGATTTAAGAGTCCTGTTGCATCATCATTTAGTCAAAACTATAAAAAAGAATATTTTCTTTATCTTGACCTTTTTAGTTAATTATAGAAAAAGTGTCCTGGAAATCTGTATAAAACTGTATAAAACACTAAAACTATATATATATGTTTTAAAACATTTTGTTTAAAGGCCCAAAAAAACTTAACTTGTATCCATTCTTTTTCTTGGGTCAGACTTTATAGAGTTAGATATGAAGCCCAGGCTTTATGCTTTCTTTTGGAAAACTCCCTGTTCTGGGTTCACACACAAACTGGGAGATCAGGAGCTTAGACACAGATATTATGAGACCAAGTACACCAGCGCAGACCAATTAGGAGCCGGCACAACAGCACGCCGACTCCCGGTGCATAAACGCTGTAATAAACCGACTAATGCCGATAAGAGGCGGCAGACGGCGGCCTCTGATTGGCTGTAACGGGGACGATGGGGAACTGGCAGAATTAGCTGTTTACAAGATGCAAACACAGACATTTTAAGACGAACGGGGATCCGGATCCGGTGTCGCTCAGCTCCTCTGGTTTGTTTTTCCCTCCACAGTTTTGTCCATTGAGCTGCGTAGGAACCGGCTGGACCTGATCCTGAAACACAACCTCTCCAAAGGCCTGAGCCACGCCCTGCAGAGAGCCCTGAACGACTCCAACGCCTACGCACAGGTGGGGTCACTCACCCTTCCTCTGAGGGTCTCCACAGGTTCTGTAGGTGGATTAAGAACAGTCTTGTGGCTTTAATCAAAGGCAATAATCATGTAATAGTGATGTTTGTTAGGGGCTAGTGACCATGGGTCAAGGTCTTACATCCTGAATGTGGAGGCTTTAAAAAGTTACAGATAAAGAAAGAAGAAGCATTTAAGTCAAAACACTATGGAAACAAACAAACAACAACAAATAAAGAGGAAAAAAAATAAAATAATAATAATAATAAATATTATTATTATTATTAGTATTATTAATTGTAACATTTCTTACATTCCTAACATTTCGAACAAACAAGAAAAAAAAGACGAGAAAAACATTATTATTATTATTATTATTATTATTATTATTAATATTTTTTATTATTATTATTATTTGTATTATTATTATATTTAATTTGAACATTTCTTACATTCCTAACATTTCGAACAAACAAGAAAAAAAGACGAAAAAAAAACATTATTATTATTATTATTATTATTATTATTATTATTATTATTATTATTATTATTATTATTATTATTATATTTAATTGTAACATTTCTTAATTTAAGTTGTAACTGTAACTCTGACTGTGGGTTCTTGTGTGTTAATGAACTTTGAAATTTGGATTTAGATTTAAAAGACTATATCTAAAGGAGATTGAACCATCACAATGTCAGCTGGTTGTTGCATTAATAAATATGGAATTAGTTTCATAATAACCACATCATTTGGAAATTCAAATGAATTTAAATCAATAATCTAACCAGGAACGAGCTGAAACCAACATTTAGCAGCTCCACTGGGCTCCTGGGGCTGGTGTAATTAGGAGGTGGCAACAGAGACCATCAGAGTCCACGATTTCAGCCTCATCCTGGAGGACGGTGACACGGGTTGCCGTGGTAACCGTAGCTTGATGAGAAGTGGTCGCCGAGGCGCCTCTGTTCTTCTTAAAGGGGAAGCAGGACTCTTTGGGTTGAGTCCAACTTTGCTGCTTTGAAAACGTGGTTTCTGTGGCTCCGAGATTTGAGGCCGCTCTCTTTTTAAGACAAGAAATGGGACTTTAGACAGAATAAATCATGAAGCATTTCACACATCTGGTGCAGAAATGTGAGTTTTCTGAGGAGAAAAGAGGCCAGACCTTAAGGGAAGCAGAACCAGTGTCCAGGTTTCAGTACAGGGAAAGTGGATTTTTGTTAGAGGAGATTAATAACTAATAACTAAATCATCATAACCATTAAGTCGAGATAAAGCTAGCTGAAAAACAACAGTTTATTATTATTATTTTAGCTAGCTGTCTGAGCTGGGAAAGGGAATGGTAAAAGACCAGTAATTAGCTTGTAAACATGGTGGTCAGAGGCTAACAGTGGCTAACAGTGACTGGCTAACGCGGGTTAATGTGGTGTAAATATGCAGGTTAATAACGTTTAGCTGGCATTTACAGGCTGGAGATGCAGGTTAATGATGTTAGTGCGTGTAAACTTAGTGAGCAGAGGTTGTTGTTGGTAATCATTACTGTGGCCACTGGCCTCTTTATCTTTATAGCCCCGCTCACCATTATTAGTTTGAAATTGTTTCCTTAAGTGGAGGAGACTGAAAACATGCAACAGGCGAAAGAAAAAGAGGAAATCTGTGTCTTTTTGACAGATTTATTATTGCACGGGACAGAGAAAGTCATCAGTATTTTCTTTTGAACTGTCTATCCTCTCTTTTCATATTTATAACAGTGTCATTCTGTCACTCACTTAGAAAAATTGCTGTTGCTTGCTGTTTTTCTTATTCGTCTTAGATGTCACTTTTGGTCACAGAGACTGAAAACACCCCCTGTAAATACTTTTTACATACATACATACATACTTATTTATTTATTTATTTATTTATTTATTTATTTATTTATTTATTTATTTATTTATTTATTCATTGACTGATTGATTCATTTATTTATCCATGTATTTATGGTTGTGCTAGGCATGTAGCAGTGTTTGTTTATTTATTTATTTTTATTTATCTATTTATTTATGCTTCTGCTAGGCTAGCAGTGTTTATCTATCTATCTATCTATCTATCTATCTATCTATCTATCTATCTATCTATCTATCTATCTATCTATCTATCTATCTATCTATCTATCTATCTATCTATCTATCTATCTATCTATCTATCTATCTACAGTATCTATTTATGCTTCTAGGCATCTCCCCACTGTAGGATCCACAAAGTAATCTAATCTAATCTAATCTAATCTAATCTAATCTAATCTAATCTAATCTACTCTTTACGCTCCAAACGTAGCCGGTCTCATAGCCCAATCGTCTCCTCGTCGTTGTTGCTGTTATTTTTCCTCCCTGATCTTTCCCCTGTTCATTCTCCTCTGAAAGACTCATGATGGGAGCTAGAGGCAAACAGGCCAAACCGGGCCAAACCGGGCCAGGTGACTAACGCGGACGCCACGGGGGCGTGAATACGTGTGACCTGTTGAGAAGTCACACGGTTTTAGCTTTGGGAGTTTATTACCATCCAGAATGAAATCTTCTCTCTTCTTTTTGGCCACAGCAGAGCAGTTAACCCTTTAAAGCCCGATCCAAGAATAAAACAAAACAGAAAATTACTGTTTTTTTGGTTTGAATTCCTTATTTGCCCTTTTAACAAAATATGTAAGAAGAAAAAAACAGAAATACATTTTTTATATTAATAATTTATTACTATGCGATAAGTCAAGATTATTTTTGGTGTAGTCTTCTGCCCCCTGTTATCAGGTGTATCTGATTGTGTACAATACGATTTTGAGCAAAGCTTTTACCATTTTACCAAGGTGTCAGATACAAAACATTTCAGAAACCGTATGTATCAGATATGATACATTTGGCATTACAGGGTTAATTTAATTTGATCCTATTACATTTTCACACACACATTTTATCCCATTTTTAACTCTGTGGTAAAAACAGCATTTTTACTGTAAAATACAATTATTCTGAGTGCATAAGTTCATGGTTCTGAGGAGTGGATGTGGGACAGGGGTTTATTTAGATCCTTCTGGATCTCTTTTCCTGTTTTTAATCTGTATAAAGCACTTTGTGTTGGTGTTTATTTGTAGGGAAAGTGCTCCATAAGTAAAGATGGACTGAACCTCAGTGAATATGAATGAATGTCCCCCTGTTTGAGCAAAGTTTTTACTATTAAATTATACAAAAGGTGTATGACACAAAACATTTCAGAAACCGTACGTATCAAATATGATACATTTGGCATTATAGGGTTCAGAGAGCTGCTTGTCGTCATTTTCCTTTCTTTTATTTTTTTTTTTTTTGTGAATCATTTTCCACAAACCACAGATCTTTTTTCTGTTTCGTCTTAATCTCTCTCTCTCTCCATCATACGATCCCTCTGAGCCTTCTGTTTTTCAATATTTACCTTCCTCTCCCCCCCCCATCACCCAGAGGCGACATCATCCTTGGTCCAAGTGGATTGATTTCCTGTTGACGGCCCGGTTCTGTCTCTCCATCTCTCCATCTCTCCATCTCTCCATCTCTCCGTCTCTCCATCTCTCCGTCCGTCCACCTGCCTCTCTTCATCTCTCTGTCTGTCTGCCTCCACCCGCCAGCCTTTCTTCTATTTTTATCCAGTTGTTTGTGAGCCTTTCACGGGAAGTGACTCAGAGTCTCTGAGCTCCAGTCCACTTTCATCTCCCCCCCAAAGCCCTGCGTCACACACACACACACACACACTCACACTCACACTCACACTCACACACACACACACACTCACACACTCACACTCTCAGCCTTCAGCTCCTCCATCTGAGAACGCAGGCTGTAATTTGACAATCAGGAGACGACAACATAAAACCAGGAGTTCTGAAATGGCCCCCGGGGCCTCGGGGGACAGGAAACAGGGCTTAGCGTGAGCTGTTACCCCCCCCAAAACGCCTGTAAAACCCTGTAATGCCAAATGTGTCATATTTGATACATAAGGTTTCTGAAATGTTTTGCGTCTGACACCTTTTGCATTATTTAATGGTAAAAACTTTGCTCAAAATCCTATTGCACACAATCAGATATACCAGAAGACTACACAAAAAACAATCTTGACCTATCGCATAGTAATAAATTAATAATATTAAACATTTATTTTAGTTTTTTCTTTTGACATATTTTGTTAAAAGGCCAAATAAAGACTTAAAACAGAAAAAAAAAGGAATTTTCTGTTTTGTTTTATTCTTGGATCAGGCTTTAAAGGGCTAATTAGCACCTCGCCGAACGCCGTTGTAAAACCGTAATTGATGTTACAGATTACCTTCTTTAGCAGGTGCCAAAGGGGCGCACGGAGGGCCAGGTCAGGTCTGGTCGGCCCTGTTTGGAACAAAATCTGCTGTTCGGTTATGCAAAAACAAAGGTCAAGCCAGTCCGGCAGCGTTTCCAGAGAGGGGGGTGAATTTTAATCAGTTTTATTGTTCTGTTTCGACCTCCGCGATCAGCATTTGTACACGATACGGATAATTAGAATCCCGGTTTATTACACGCCGTCGTTTGTTCGCTCAAACAGAGGGACGCTTTCTTTATTTAAAACACTTTTACGGTTTCAAACCACCTAAACATCCATCAGCAGGTAATAAAACCGACTCAGTCTGAGTTCACGGAGTGCGTAAAACGTGCCGATGTCGGAACTATTTACTTTATATCAGAATAAACCAGCCTGGCCTCTTTGTTTTTAGTAACTGAAGTCAGATGAATTCAGTTTACACGTGGCTGGATGGAGCTTTTTAGCATTCAGAAGGCACAAAATACAGAGTTTGGGAACCTTTTTATCACACGATACATATTAATGGTTCCTGTGATCATTAACCATGTATGAATGTGTGTTTGTGCACCAGCAGGATTACGACTCTGGAATAAGTTTGTGACAAAGGCATCATAAATCATTAAATCATGCCAACATGTACTGTTTATAAATAGCAGAGAAGATGAAGAATTACTCAAAAGCTGCAGCTTATGGAAAAAGGAGGCATCCAAAATACAATTAAAAAGTGCCTAATAGAAATATTTGATCATTTGTGTTTCTTTTATTTAATGCATTTTTATTGTGTGTATCCTGATATTTTTGTTTTTCCACCATCACATAAGAAAAATATCTTAAAAAAAGAAAAAGTAGTTCATTAATCAGTTCATTGATTAGTGGATTTACTGATTTTTTCTTCATTAATCAAAGGGTCCTCCTTAGATAAAACAGGTGTCAATCAACATAATTCTCATAAAAAAAGGGATTTAGGGGCTGTTTGGTTTTGTTCAGTTAGTTATTTTAGGTTAATTTTGCCTTTTGTTCAGATTCCTGTACAATTCTCTAATGGATTCATAACAATAGAAACATCCGTGTGTCAAATAACTTGATTAGTTTGTTTCTTTTCTTGGAGCTGCTGGATTTTCGCCTGAAATATGCAACATTTAATTCTGCACCCAATCCACTCGAGCTGAGACTCTAAATGAAAGATCCACAGGCTCCATTTTATTTTTTTGTGTTTCCTAATGAAATGCAAAACCCAAAGGTGGAATGTGGGGATGAAAAAAAACGAGAAACGGAGAATAATTAAAAGCTAAAAGAGCTGCTGGAGAAAAACTGGCTCTCATTCCTTCAGAAAAAGTCTCGGAAACGGACTTTTTCTGTGATTTTTGTCAGAGCAGATAAGAGAATTAGAGGAGGAGAGGTATTGAAATGCAGTTTGAGTTCGAGGGATGTGTTTTTTGGAGAGCAAAAGCTAGCTAGGAGCAGAAAAATATGGCCGAGGAGAGGAAAAATCCACAGTGGCACCAGACCGGAGCCCAGTGTGGTGGAAACACGAGCCCTTCAGACTCTGTTTGTCTTTCTGAGACACAGATCTGAGTACGGAGAGCTTAACTTATAACACACACACTCCGGGGCAGATTTGAATTTAAATTAAATCGCGGTTCATACATATTCATGTTCTGCTTCTTCTGCTCTTTTGAAAGCAAAGATGAAAGACGGAGGAAGGAGTCGGGTCTCTTTCACTTTCACTTTTCAGCCCTTTTTAGCATCAGGGAGCCCGGGTCAGGGTCCGGGTCCAGGTCCGGGTCCTGGTCCTGGTCCTGGTCCGGGTCCGGGTCCGGGACCGTATGTATCAAATATGATACATTTGGCATTACAGGGTTCATTTAATTTGATTACATTTTCACACACACATTTTATTCCATTTTTAACAGCATTTTTACTGTAAAATACAATTATTCTGAGTGCATAAGTTCTTGGTTCTGAGGAGTGGATGTGGGACAGGGGTTTATTTAGATCCTTCTGGATTTCTTTTCCTGTTTTGAATCTGTATAAAGCACTTTGTGTTTGTGTTTATTTGTGGGGAAAGTGCTCCATAAGTAAAGATGGGCTGAACCTTAGTGAATATGAATGAATGTCCCCCTGTTTGAGAAAAGTTTTTACTATTAAATTAAGCAAAAGGTGTTCTTTTTTTTCTGTTTTCTGTTTTAAGTCTTTATTTGGCCTTTTAACAAAATATGTAACAAGAAAAAACAAAAATTAATGTTTAATATTAATAATTTATTGCTATGCGATAGGTCAAGATTATTTTTTGTGTAGTCTTCTGCCCCCTGTTATCAGGTGTATCTGATTGTGTACAATAGGATTTTGAGCAAAGTTTTTACCATTAAATTATGCAAAAGGTGTCAAAGGCAAAACATTTCAGAAACCGTATGTATGATAAATAAATACATACATTTGCATTTGATACATTTGGCATTACAGGGTTAAAGGAAGCTGTGTGTGTAAAATATGATGCATTTGGCATTACAGGGTTAAAAGAAGCTGTGTGTGTAAAATATGATGCATTTGGCATTACAGGGTTAAAAGAAGCTGTGTGTGTAAAATATGATACATTTGGCATTACAGGGTTAAAAGAAGCTGTGTGTGTAAAATATGATACATTTGGCATTACAGGGTTAAAGGATTTCAGAAACTGTGTGTATCAAATATGATACACTTAGCATTACAGGGTTAAAAGAAGCTGTTTGTGTAAAATATGATGCATTTGGCATTACAGGGTTAAAATATTTTAGAAGCTGTGTGTGTAAAATATGATGCGTGTGGCAGGTGGAGCGGGAGGACTGCGGCCTGCAGAACGTGACCCTTGGCTTCTACGTGACCAGCGGGAAGAGCGTGTTCGTGTCCTCCATGGTGGTCGAGTCGCTGACCCTCTACGGCTTCGACAAGCTGCTGGCCGACGTCCGGCAGCACGCGCCGCCGGTCAGGGCCCTCCTGTTGCCCGTGGCAACCTGGACGCCGGCGCCCAGCATCCACCTGCAGCTCAGGACAGGTGAGCCACGCCTCTGTCTTTCACCAGAAAAGAGCTGAGAAAACGGTCAAAATCTGAAAAATTAGCCCTTTAAGGTTAACCCTTTAAAGCCTGATCCAAGAAAAATAGGAAGAAAATTGGATTTTTTTTTAGTCTGAAGTCTTTCTTTGGCCCCTCAACAACATATGAAGAAAAAAAAAACAGAAATTATTTTGATCAAATTAGCGTGCAATAGGTCAAAAATATATTTCGGTGTGGTCTTTTACTGGCTGTTTTCAGGTTTATCTGAATGTGTACAACAGGGGTTTGAGCAAAGCTTTTACCACTGAATGATGCAAAAAGTCTCAGATCCAAAAGACTTCGGCAACCGTGTGAATCAAATATGATACATTTAGCATTATTGGGTTATGAGTCCAGTTTCAAGAGATCAAATGTTAGAAAGTCAGGGAAAATATCAGTTTTTCCTCTAAAGATTTGTGGTCACATAACGATTTAATCAGCTCCAAATATCATCATTATAAACACTCAGGAAACAATAACAATAACAGTCATTGTAATTGTATTTGACAAATGCCAAATGCGTCATATTTTATACATACAGCTTATAATTGAGAGCCTTTTTAAGACTTTACGGTAAAAACTTTTCTCAAAACCCTGTTGAAAACAGTCTGATTTCCCATATAGCCTGCAGCCAAAGACTCCACAGAAGTAATTTAGCTGGGTATTAAATGGCAAATATACACTACTCACTTTTGATAAAGGCTAAATATTTGATTTTTTCTTGGCTCAGGCTTTAAATGCAAAACTATAAACACATCAAGTCTTTTACAGAAGGTTTTGAGAGCTTCTGTATTCTTGGCTGAGTGGATATTTGATGGGATGCCACAGAAAAAGACTCCACCTGACACAGACTCGGTGAAAAAAGGAGGACTTTATTTTCAGATAAACAGATCGATGCACCGCAGAGTCTCAGCCTCTTTCACAGGTTTTATATATCTCTCTCCACATCTCTCACATCACTTCTGTCAGATGCATCTTTTAAAAATCAGTCGGACCCTTTTTCAAGCTGCAGACACGCGATCTCGCCTCTTTGCATCTCTGCCTCTTTGAATCTTCTTTAGGGACATTTCTTGAAACGGAAATTTTAAAACATTTAGCATAATCTCACAAAACTGAATTAAATTCGAATTATTTATGTCTCCATGTCTTTCAGGATGCTAAGTGTGTTATTTTAAATGCGTTTATGTACAAATTTAACTGGGCTCTGTGTAAATTTGAGAGGTTTTGGGTTAGTAGAAAAGGATTAAATCAATGTAATTAATTGAATTCTTTAACCTTTTAAAGCCTGATCCAAGAAAAATAGGAAGAATATTGGATTTTTTTTAGTCTGAAGTCTTTCTTTGGCCCCTCAACAACATAAGAAGAAAAAAAAACTTAAATTATTTTGATCAAACTAGCGTGCAATAAGTCAAAGATATATTTTGGTGTAGTCTTCTACTGGCTGTTATCAGGTATATCTGAATGTGTCCAACAGGGGTTTGAGCAAAGCTTTTACCACTGAATGATGCAAAAAGTCTCAGATCCAAAAGACTTCAGAAACCGTATCTATAAAATATGACACATTTGGCATTATAGGGTTAAAGTCTCAGCATATGAAACGTTATGTTTGGCTATTTATGTGATGTTAAAAGCCATACAACTACAAAACCGACACCAAATCAAGCGGAGAAGTCTGATCAACATAGGTTTAGTCCGATTTGGACCGGACGATGAGGAAGACAGATGAGAATCTCCATTCCCCGGAAATAGGCGACTCTGCAAGTCTCTTCAGACTTTTGGACGCCAACCAACGCGCCTCCGTTTAAGTTAACAGTCAGAGAAGGAAACACAAGCTCAGAAACCAGGTCAGAACGCTGTCAGATGAGAAAGAGATGGAGTCCTGGAAGAGAAGGACAGAGGAGACGTTATTTAACGTCATCCTTAATCTGCCGGTGGACTGAATATTGTTTCCTGAGGGGAGGCAAACAGACTAGTGGTGGTTTTGGCTGCTCTGGGTGGAGGCGATAATCCTCCTCCTCTGGCGCGCCGCTGGGGTTTATCAGTCACACCGACATCCATCCAGAGCTTATTCTCAGGTTCCAGAAACAGCCAGACAGAACGGACGCCTGCAGGTTTTTCTAAATCTCTCATCCAGATTTTCAAATGGAAGACAACGGAATGAGATGTAACCAAAGTGGCAAATAATAATAATAATAATAATGATAATAAAAAAAAATAAAATAAATAAATAAATAAATAAATAAATAAATAAATAAATAAATAAATAATAATAATGATAATAATAATAATTCATTTTATTTTCAAAAAGCGCCTTTCATGCCACTCAAAGACACTTTAAAAAGACGATGATCATTAAAACAACATTGAAACATAAGAAAACATACAAAGTCATAAATACATAATAAATAAAAACATCATAAATGAATTAAATAAAAATGGAATGAATAAAACTGTGCAAATAAAGAAACATTGAGGTTTTTTTGGGTATGTTAGGGGATTTAAACTGCTGGCCATAACTTTTAGAGCCATGTTTTTCCCTTTTTTGTTGATATTATAATTATTATTATTTTTTTATTATTATTTTGTTGGATTTTCAGCCTTGGTTCGTCTCAGTTTGGTCCTCAGCTCCTCCCTCTGCTGTGTCAGTATCTTAATAATTTGGGATTTTGGTGCTTTTGTATTTGTTCACCGTTGAGTCTTCCCTGTAGTTTTGGTATTATTATTATCTTTGCTCCTGTGTTCTTACTTTTTTGTCTCCTGTTGCTTTTGCTCACCTTCTTCTTCATTGGTGTCTCCTCCACCCTCACTTTGTGTCCTCAGTCTGTTTCCATCCCGGCTATCAGCTTTTGTACTCTTTTTGTTATTTGGTTTCCAGGCTTGTGTGCTCCTGTCCGTCTCATCCTTGCTTGTTTTTTCTCTGGTTAACTTTCGGTCTTTTGCTATTCTTAAGATTGATGTTTTTCTGTTCCGGCCTCTTTGCATTCTCGTAAAATAACATTTGGTCCTCTTTCTCACAGCTTGTTTTGCTTAGTTAGGCTGTACCCAGCGGCTCAAAAATGATCTTTTTCTACAGGTGAATCCCACATTTGGGCCCTCCAAAACCTTTTACCACCGACACCATTCACAGACTCGGCTGCTTTTGATCAAATAAGTCAGCTATTCACAGACAGTATAAGGGTTTCCCATGAGATTCATCACAGCTTGATGCTCATGTTTAATGTCTCACTGGGACTGTGTCTTTCAGTTTTAGACAGGCTATGACTGACTGAAAAATACTAAAATCAATATTTTCAACATTGTAGGTCACTTATTGTGTCTTTCAAAGCTCAGTGCTGCCATTTTTATGGTAAAAATAATCATATAATGACTGTTTGGATGTTGGTTTATGCATACAAATGTGACTAACAGGGCAGATGTTTGCAGGAATTCTGAATGTGTGGAATAAAAATGCTCTTTAGGAGCCATGTGACCTGGTATTTACTCCCATTTTAAATCTTTTGTGAGTTAAACGAGGCGTGTCTTCTGTGTCCGGCCCCCAGTGTTGAGGTTCGTGGGACCGACGGACAACATCTACTCCTGCAGCTTCGTCCAGATGTTGGAGCAGAGGCTGGAGAACGCCTACGACGAGGCTCAGGACAAAGTGCTGGAGACCTACAACATGCTCTCTGTGGAGGTAATGCGCCAGTTAACGCAGGCTAATGTGAATATTGAAGCTCCATGGGGGGTAATTTGAAACAAAAACTGGGCAGTTTTAGTGTCCACTTCCACTCAAAGGAGGACGTGTCTGCAGTGGTTCAAATCTGGAGCTATAGCCCATCCGAACTGAGTGCCGTTTTATGCTCTAACCCAGTGTTTTTCAACCACTGTGCCTCGGCACACTAGTGTGCCGCGAGTTATCATCAGGTGTGCCGTAGAAAATCATCCTATTTCACCCAATTGGTCTAAAAAAATTTTTTTGATAAGGAATTAATTATCTGCAAATAATATGCTATTTTTGAGTGTCTGTGCTGTTCGAGTGACTGGTGGCGTAATCATGTAATAATTCCTTATGACTAGATTTTGTATATAGTTTTGTATATTGAAGTGGACATGTTACGTGCAATTTGAAAGAAGAAATATAAAATATGATAAAAATACATTTTTGTGTTTATTTGATTCCTATTCATGACACTTAAGGTAAGATAAGAATAAAATAAGAATAATTTTAGTGTTACAATAGGCAGCTGCAGATTTGTTTGACATTTTTGGTTGGTGTGCCTCGAGATTTTTTCAATGAAAAACTGTACCTTGGCTTAAAAAAAGGTTGAAAAACACTGCTCTAATGCATAAATCCTCCCTCTATTTTCGCTCTATTCCGTCAGACTGTCCAGATTCTCTCTCGACGGCTGGATTTACGCCGCGTGCGCAAAGCCACGATCGTAAAACAGGGTCTCAGTGAGCAGACTTATACACAAGCTCCATTCATAATTCACTCCCTGAATTATTAACTGGGAGAATGCACGGGAGGAGCGTGGTGGTAATTCTTAGCATCTTGTATCATCGTCCAGTTATGTTACTTTCCGAGCGTCGCACGTTTTTCTTTTTCATTATAAAGAGAATAAAACCTTGTTCAGTCATGTATTTTGCAGTGACCGGAGCTCCTCGGTTCCTCCTTTATGCACGTCTAAGACATTCGGCACGTCTTAGTCTGAGATATGACTGTAGGAGTGTGTGAATAATGGAGGTGGTCTGAACTGCCCTCTGTATTTTTTTGCCCCCCCCTAGATCCAGAGCGTTTCCCAGGAGCCGGGCTCCCCCTCGGTCAGCCTGGTGTACGTGGTGAAGAACCAGGGCGCGGTTCTGAACGGGACCATCTCCAGCGGGCTCCTGAACCAGCTGACCGCAGAGCTGGTGGGGTACTTCCTGTTCTACCCGCCGCTGGTCATCGCCGAGCGTAAGTACCGGGAAACCGTTTATGTGGAGGGTGATTCCTCATTAACACCAGAACTGGTCACACTCCACAGGCCATCAGAACCTAAAGTGTTACTGAACTATTCAATTCAATTAAATTTCAATTCAATTTTATTTATATAGCGCCACATCACAACAACAGTTGTCTCACAGCGCTTTCCAAACAGAGCAGGTCAGACCCTACTCTGAAGTTAACTACAGAAACCCAACAATTCCCACCATGAGCAAGCACTAGGCGACACAGGAAAGGAAAAACTTCCTTTTAACAGGCAGAAACCTGGAGCAGAACCATGGCTCAGGGTGGGTGGCCATCTGCCTCAGCCAGTTGGGGGTGAGGGAAAGAGAGGGCAAGAGAGAGAGAGAGAGAGAGAGAGAGAGGGCGAGAGAAGGACAGAGGGAGCAGAGAGAGGCAGCCTACACAGCAACACAGCAACTAATACATGCATATAATGAAAAAAGTGTCAGGATGGTAACTTCAGGCAGGACTCAGATGCAGAGATCTTGTCAAAAAGGTTTTGATAGAACCAAAAGTGCAGTCGCAAAGAGTGGAGGACGAGGAAAAATACAAAAACGAGGCAGACAAAGCTGTGAACAAAGTATTAAATAATAATCACTCTAAACAGAGGACGGCAAAAGTTACAAAGTATCAAATAAAAATCACTCTTACAAGGCATAAACAAGAATGTGGAAAAAGTACCAAAATAAACTCCCTCCAAAAGGAGGCATAAACGGGGTTCAAGGAGAAAGACAAGGATTACTATGAGGTTACCCATTGGCCCCAGACAAGGAGAGAGTCAGACTATTTAAACACAAGGGAAGGGAACCCCAGGGGAACTCAATCAGGGATCAGAGAAGACAATCAGACATGTGACACACAGGGGAGTGCAAGAGACCTGAAACAAGGGGATGTACCTTTCAAAATAAAAGAGGAAATGACAAGACAACCATAGAGACGGGGAAAAAAACACCAAAATTCCCCCAGACGTGACAAAAAGACCATTGCCAGAAGTTGAAAGCTTTGTACAGATGCTTTAATGGAATGGCTTCAGATGTAGTCCTTTGTGGTATTTATAGTAAACTGGTGCAATAATGCATTATGTTAGTGGTGTTATATAAATGTGCTCCTTTAGAGCTTAACTGCCTCTATCAGAGGAATCTTTTTGTTTATCAAAAGTGCTGCTCTGTCACATATCTGATTCACTAAAAACTGTTCTGAGTAATTTTCAAACACTTTCTGTGAGAGAAGTTTCAGCAAAAGGACTTTGGGTCTTTGTTTCAGGCACAAAACAAAAACTTTGCCCTATCTGTATTTTAGAAACAAAATGATGTAAAATCCTGTAATAATTAATGAAAATTGTAACAATGATCATTCATTACTTTCAATCCAAACCACTTTCCTGTCCCCTGTGATGAAATAATGTCCTTTTTAAGCTGCTGGGCTGCTCTTCCATCCCATTTCTCCTCATTGTTTTAGCACTGGAGCAACAAAGAAATCCTTTTTATTTTTTAATTGTCTGCATGCAAAATCAGCCAAAATGCTCCCAACCACATTTAATGTTGTCCAGCCAAACAATTAGAGTCCATTCAGGGAGCGAAGCCGTCTTCTCTGAGGCTCTGCCCGATAATTAGATTGCATTTACAGACAGTTTTAAATGGAAATTTAACAGAGCTAATTGGTTTTATTAACCGTTTAACTCTGGTGGAGGTAGACTGGCATTTAAGAGCTGAAATACATCGTTAAAAAGGTTCTGACTTTATTCACACCGTCGTTAAAAAACCAGACTCATTCACAAATGTATCCTTTTATTCTATAGTCCCAATATAGTTGAAATTACACAATGTAGTTTTATTTTACAAAGCATACCAATAAACTCGAGGATGCAATACACATAGTAAAACATCTGGATCTGTTAGTTAAATGTCAAGTTAGATAACTGTCAAAACTATAATCACTAGACATCCCGTTTAGCGTTTGTCGGCATCTTAGATGCTTTTAAACAGCCTTAAAATAAGAAAATAGCTTTTTATATTGAAGTTGTCATTGTTAAATGATCATTATTATTCTCAGAATTAACATGACAGTGATGAAACTGCACAATCTTTAGAAAATAGATACTGGAAACACACTTTAGTGGCCTCCTCCGATTTTGCATACTCTCACAAATAACCTTTGAAAGTCATCGAACTCCATAGAACTCAAATAAAGGTGTGAGGCCTCCAGATGTTGTACAGAAGAATAAACCAGGACTGACACCGGGTGTATACTCACGCTCTGTGTGTTTTCTGTGAACCGTGCAGCATCAGGAAGGGAGGAAAATGTCCTGAAGCTAGCTGAGATTGCAAAAAATAGACGAGAACCCTCACACAGAGGATGGAAGAAGCTTTGACTTCCAGTGGAGGAGCGTATCAGAATCAGAAATACTTTAAAAATCCCAGAGCTCCATAAATAAAACAACATCATATACATATATACATGTCTATATATATATATATATATATATACATATATACAAAATTCCACACAGAATATAGATAAATATATACATAAATAGCTATCAGCCAGACACAAATAAGACAAACATGCGCCTGAACCCAGCTGGTTGTGGATGCAGGTTTAACTGAAGAACCAGTTTTCTTTAATCAGCGTCCTCGTTATGTAAGAGTTGTGAGTTTTTCAATCCGCCTGCGTGCAGATTTGCGCCTCTGGCTGAGCACAACACGGAAACTCGTCGGGTTTCTTTGACGACACTGAGTGCGGAGAGTCCACTGCAGGGCGATGCATGATTCATGACTTGGCATATGTGTGACCTACTTCTCATGAGAGGGAAGTCAAAGCTCCTTCCCTGTCGTGGATTTCAACAGGAAGGAGTTTGTGTTAGAGGTGAATAGGCCACACTGAGAGGGTTTGGACATGTTGAGGGAGGTTTTTTAGAGATGTGAAAGAAGACTTTAAGGTACTGAGACGAATCCCTGAAGGGTGAAGCCAAAAGAGGAGGAATCAGGGAGGCAGGGGGTGGTAAAGTAAGTGGTCGTTAGGCGGGTTGTTGGAGTTTTGTGCCAACTTAAAGTGTGTTAGATTAATGGGACATGCAGCTTTAAACAAAACATTGTGCAGAAGTATGAATATTTTCATTAAATATCAAAACTAAGAGGGGAAGGAGACAGTCTGAGAAGCCGTAAGGGGAGAAGCAGTACAAGGAGAAAACAGTCCAGGATGGTTGGTGGTAGCTGTTTTCTCTCTTGATAAAAAGAAAAAAAATCTTGACTTATTGGCCTGGCTACGTCTGCTGCCCCCCTTCTGATCCACTGAGTTTTAGCTAAACGTTATAAAGCGTGTTGTTCGGTTTGTTAGGAAAAAAACTCCTGCAAGAGGCCCGAAAATAGCCTAAACGGAGCTAAAGCTTTAATCAGAACAGCAGATGAGTTTGATTTTTACTTTTGGTAAACATAAAGTGTGTGGTTAGCGTATTTCTGTGAAAAATGGCCGTCCTTAGCTACCGCAGTTAGCCTTAGCTCCCACAGTTAGCCTTAGCTCCCACAGTTAGCCTT